GGTAACAAATGGTAAAAGCTGGGAGTCCTGGTGTGGCACTGTAGGCTAATGCGTCAGACTGCCAAGTTGTTTGAACTGCAACGTCGGTGGTTCAAGCTCTCCAGCTGCTCCTTGGAAACCCTATACAGGGTCGCTATGGGTCGGAATCGACTGACGGTGCTTTTACAACAATGGTAAAACCCTAATTGCCTTGAAAAGACTGTTGATGGGATTATGAATGTCAAAGGTGAGGGCTCAGAGGAATGTGAGGAGAGTGGTAACACTGGCGATAGCTTAGATGGTTAGAAATAGCAGCAGCCAAACCAGGAGACCTGGGCAAGATGGTCTGAGTACCTTCAAGCAGGACTTTTCCTGGCAGAGTAGAAAGTGCCTATGATACTTGCCAGTGGAACTAGGCTTAGAAACCCATGGCACAAGAGAGTTGGGTGTCTTCAGTCAGGAAGCTTTCTGGAGGAGTGGAGTGCCACTGGGCACTTATCTATGGGTCCAGGCTAGCCAACTCTTGGAGCAAGAGAGCTGAGTGCCTTTGGTCAAGGCTTATTGGCATAGTGGGGTTGCCTCCGGGGACTTATCATTAGAGCTAAAGAACTTCATAACACTTGCTCAAACAGGGCAGAGGCTGGGTCATCCCAAGAGACTGAGGGGTTTAGAGGCCGAGGAACCAGGAAGAGACAAGGAGTGTAGGAAGCAGACCTGCCTTGGTCTCAAAGGATAGGACCCTAACCTCTAGGGTTTCAAAGGGTGGCCTCCCAGCTTTCTAGGCTTCAAAGAATCAGATCTTCAACTTGGTTTTGGAGTGTGAGGTTGCCATTCACGGGTACCATGGAAATAGGTTCAGATCCACTGCCCAACTCTGATTGGTGGGGATGCTGTGCCCAAGGGACTGAAACATGGAGACTTCAAGGACCAAGGGGTCAAAGTCCCACTCACTTGGACCAGGAGACGGGCTGCTCAAAGCCAATGGAGCAGAGCTTCCACCCAGAATCCAGAGAGCATGACCAACACCCAGAGTCTGTTCTCAGGGAAGAGAGGATAATTCTTGAGCGCTGAGAATTAATGTAAATTGTTCTGCTGGGTTTTTCACTTACTTGGTACCCATTATTCCCTCTTTCCCTCCTATTTCTCCCTTTTGTAATGAAAATGTCTACCATGTGTATGTTCCACCATGTGCCTGTTCCACCATTGGACTTTGGACGCAGATAAGTTATATTCTAGGTTCATAGATGAAGAGGATTTATTTCCCCAGGATGGAATTTGAACTTGGAGATAATTTAAGACTTGAGGGAATGATAATGATGGAGTGAAAAGTATTGGATGTGGCAAGGATATGCATTTGGAGGGACCCACAGAATGTGGAATGTCTTAGATTGAATTGTGTCCTCCAGAAATATTCGTCAGCACCACTGGGCCATGATTCTCCATGGTCTGTTAGTTAAGAAATGATGTAATCTGGCAATTGTGTGATGATTTCATCATCCCCCATGAAGTCTGTCGTCCGTCCGATGAGATCAATCAATCAGTTGTAAGGAGATGAAGGTGGGATGCAACATCTTTATTTAGGTCGCAGCCCTGTGAGGGGACTTTCCCATGATATACCCTGCAATACCTTTTATCTTACAAGAGCAAAAAGCGAACAGAGAGGAGGGGCCTCCGTACCACCAGGAAAGAAGATCCAGAGTGGAGCGTAACCTTCAGACCCAGGGTCCGTGAGCTGAGAACCTCCTAGATCCAGGGAAGCTTGATGCCAAGACACATGGAGATCTCCAAAGAACACAGTTCCCACAGATGTTGAAAGGGGCCAAGGATGTTCCCCCAGAGCTGACAGAGAAAGCCTTCCCTGTGAGCTGGCCTCCTGAACTTGAACTTCTAGCTGCCGCACTGTGACAGGATCAATTTCTATTTATTAAAGCCATCCTTGTGGTATCTGTGTTATAGCAGCACGAGGTCACTATGAGAGATGGGGGGAATCACATCTTCATAGTTTTTACTTAGCACTACTGAAATTTGGCATATCCTGAAATGATGAAAATAGGCAAGAAAGCTGATTAACAGTGCATGAGATCATCAAGTTGTATCTGATCAGTCAAAATCTCTTTGACATCCTTCTTGACGTAACTATCACAGACATGCATCTAGACCTTGTTATTTGAATTCATACATGAAGAGCATGTGTTGCCATATCACAATTCTGTTCTTTTAATATTTTGATAATGATTTCAAAATATTTGGTATTCCTATTGATATTTTAGTTCATCTCATGCATTTATATATTATTCTGAGAAAGAACCCGTAGTATTCACTAAACTGCTTAAAAGGGATCCATGTAAAGGTAGAAGTTTTGTAACACTAAGAGGGGAGTAGTTAATCTTATAGTCCAGGAACAGAGGACCCTAGGACCATCAAAGGAGAACAGCACAAGCGGAATGTGGGACCCTGTCCAGAGACGCAGCGACACCAGAGATGGAGGCAGAGATGACAACATGGAGAGAGGGAGCAGCTGAGGACTCTAGACTCATGGAAAGAGAGGGACTCAGAGCTAGCAGCCAGGAGGCAGGCTTACAGAATGTTGTCCTTTGGTTGTTTAAATGATTATATATTCCTGAGTGTTTTTGTGTACCTCACCCCTCCTCCCCACCAAAAAACCAACCAACCAACCAACCAGAGGGAATAGAAGCAAATACTGTTGAATGATGATGCACAGAAGAGATTGTAATCATTGCAATGAAACGATGAGTGTAAAACTGATGTTCTCCCATGCAAACTAATCACTCAAGTCACAATAAAAACTTAAAAAAAAAAAAAAAAAAAGGAATCCATGCATGAGAAAAGGTTTAGAATACCATTCCAGTGCAGGACTTGGCACAGTTTTCTGTAAAGGACCAGATAGTGACTGTTAGGCTTTATAAGTCATTCTGTCTCTATCGCAGCTCCTCAACTCTGCCATTGTGCCATGAAAGTAACTAATAAAACTTTACTGGGTTTGGCCCGCGAGCTGTCTTGTTCTAGAGTTTTATATGCAAGATCTTGGTGGTATTTAGTCAAGCAAAGCGTTGTAAACACACTGCCATTCAGTCATTCTAGTTCATAGCCACCCTCGAGGACCGCACAACTGCTCCTTGGGGTATTTGAGACTAAATTTTTATGGGAGCAGACAGCCTCATCTTTACCCAACAGGTGGCCAGTGGGCTTAAAGCACCAGCCTTTTGGTTAATGGTCTAATGCTTAACCTACTGTACCACCAGGCCTTCATGCTTAGGTGTTGTTGTTGTTGTTAAGTGCCATCGAGTCGGGTCCGACCCATAGCTACCCTGTACAGGGTTTCCCGGGGTGTAAATCTTTACAGGAGTAGAAAGCCTCATCTTTCTTCTGCGGAGCGGCTGGTAGTTTCGAACCGCTGACCTTAAGGTTCATAACCCGATTCGTAACCACTATGCTACCAGAGCTCCTTTTTGTGCATAGGTGTTAAGTACCATCAAGTTGTTCTGTCCCATAGCAACCCTGATTTCCTAGGAGCGGCTGGTAGATTTGAACTTCCAACTTTTCAGTTAGCAAGGACTTTTGGTCCAGTGCTTCTCTTAGAGCGTCACTCCAGGATTTCTATTTAGGTGTAGGTTTCTCTATGGATTGTTGTTGTTGTTAGGTGCCACTGAGTCGTACTAACCCATAGCAACCGTATGCAGAGCAGAACGAAACACTGCCCAATCCTGGGCCAGCCTCACTACTGTTGCCACACTTGAGTCCACTGATGCTGCCACTTGGCCAATCCATCTTGCTGGGGGTCTTCCTCTTTTTCTCTGACTTTCCACCTTACCAAAGATGATAACCTTCTCCAGCGACTGGTCCCTCCTGACAATATGTCCAAAGTATGAGAGACGAAGTCTGGCCATCTTGGCCTCCAGGGAGCACTCTGGCTGCACTTCTTCCAAAGCTTGTTAAATCACTCCCTGCTGGCTTTCATTGCATTTATTACCCACCGCATCCTGACGTTGTAGGTCCTATTCCAAAAAGCTCTTTTGAGCTTCTTGACTAGGTAGGTGAATGTTGGTTGCATTTACAGATAGTTGACCTAGTAAAGAGAGTGGAGTCAAGGCTGGATAGGAATCCCAGATCTGTTATGTATGACGGTGACCGTGAACTAGTGTTGCCGTATCTCTGGGTCTCGCTCTCATTTGTATAATAGTAGTAGTAACAGCACCTGCCTATCATGAGCATCTGGTGTCAACACGGAAGCCACAGAAGAACATGCTGTCATTTTAGTCACTGAAGACATTTTTGGAATGGACAGCCTCACTGGTTTGCTTGAAATGATCAATGCCTGAGAGCACTTGGACTTGGCATTCTTTGAGAAAATAAACTTGGCACCTCACGGCTACTCAGCCACTCAGCTGTTTGCAGTTTCATGTTCCCGCCTCATCTTTCGGGGAATCTGATTTTTTTTTTATTTTAAATGGAACAGCTGGATTTTATAACTTCACAGTACACAGCACAGCTGGCAATGTGAAAGAAATAAATGTTGTGCAATAAACACATCTCTATTAATAAAGATCTGCATGGAGTATAATTATGCTGGATGTCTTCATCCTTTTTTTTTTTTTTAAAGAGTACACCCGTGCAGTGCAGCATTTACAAATGCTTCCTAGACTCTGACAACATGTAACTCAAAGGAAACAGACAGATGAGGTACAATGATGCCACTTGGAACGTTGACAAGCTATGAGCTTGATGGTGGTTGTTTTACTAAGTATATTTGCAAAACTATGTTATTTTGGGCAATGAAATAATCTCTTATCAATCTCTCCTCTTGGTCTTCTGGGTTTTATAACGCTGGTGGTACAGCCAAAGCACGTGGTGGTGGCTTTTTTCCTTCTCCCCAGGGGCAGAAGTTAGAAGGCCTCCATCTGCCTGCCTTGGTATAAGCGAGTTTCTGGTGTGTGCTGCGGGGGGAATCCGCTATGGTTGTTGTCTGCCTGTTCTTATCGAAACTCACCTTGTGTTGACAGGGGATGCCCCCTTCCAGTGCTGGCTCTGTAGCGCCAAGTTCAAAATCAGCTCGGACTTGAAAAGGCACATGCGTGTGCATTCGGGGGAGAAGCCTTTCAAGTGTGAATTCTGCAATGTTCGCTGCACCATGAAGGGGAACCTCAAGTCACACATCCGCATCAAGCACAGTGGGAACAACTTCAAGTGTCCTTACTGCGACTTCCTGGGAGATAGTAAGGCCACGCTGCGGAAGCACAGCCGGGTGCACCAGTCGGAGCACCCGGAGAAGTGTCCTGAATGCAGCTGCTTGTGTTCCAACAAGGCCTCCCTGCGCGCGCACAAGCGCACCCACTGCACAGACCGCCCGTTCAAATGCAGCTACTGCAGCTTCGACACCAAGCAGCCCAGCAACCTGAGCAAGCACATGAAGAAGTTCCACGGTGACCTGGCCAAGACCGAGGCCTTGGAGAGGAAGGACACGGCCAGGCAGAGCAGCCGGCAGGTAGCCAGGCTGGACGCCAAGAAGATTTTCCACTGTGATAAATGCAACGCCTCGTTCATGCGCGAGGATTCGCTCCGCAGTCACAAGAGGCATCACAGCGAATACAGCGAGCACAAGAACGCGGACGTGACGGTGCTCCAGTTCCAAATGCAGCCCAGCAAGCAGCCCGTCGAGCCCCTCGCCGTCGGGCATCTCCAGGTACCTCTGCAACCCAACCACGTGCCCCAGTTCAGCGATGGGAGGGTCAAAATCATCGTCGGGCATCAGGTACCCCAGACCAACACCATCGTGCAAGCCGCCGCCGCCGCCGCCGCCGCAGCTACCACCACGGTGAACATCATGCCCCCCGCCTTGGTGGCTCAGAGAACAGAGGACCTCCCCGGGAACAGCCGGCTGCAGATCCTGCGTCAGGTCAGTCTGATCACCCCTCCTCAGACCTCGGGGTGTCCAAGTGAGGCGGGAACGATGGCCCAGCCGGCTGTGCTACTGACCACCCACGACCAGGCAGAGGGGGCCGCACTGCACCAGACTCTGATCCCCGCTGCCCCCGGCGGCCCCCCGGAAGGTCCCGGTAACCAGACTTTCATTACTAGCTCTGGTATTACCTGCACGGACTTTGAAGGCCTTAACGCTTTGATCCAGGAGGGCGCAGCTGAAGTGACCGTGGTGAGCGATGGAGGCCAGAGCATCGCTGTGGCCACTACGGCACAGCCCATATTCTCATCCTCCTCCTCCCAGCAAGAGCTCCCCAAGCAGACTTACTCCATCATTCAGGGGACTGCCCACCCGGCTCTACTCTGCCCAGCTGACTCCATACCAGACTAATACATGGGGGTGGGGGTGGGGGTGGGAAGAAGACAATGAGAACAAAGCAAAGCCAAGAAAGGAAACCCGAAGTAGAATTCTGTAAGAGGTTTGCATTAAATATTCTTCAGGAATGTTGTGGGCCCCGGAGAGAAACAAATTGTAATTTTATACTGCTTACATTGGGAAGGAAATTAAATGCAGGGGTAGTTGTGAATATGTTTGTTTCCAATTAGATTTCCCAACTCTAATAAAGGAAGATGATGCAGCGATTACAGCGCTTGGCTGTGAACCACACGGTCACCTGTTCAAACTTACTAGCTTTGGACTCGTGGTTGGTGGTTCAAGCTCACAAGCCACTCTTTGGAAACCCTATACAGGGTTGCTATGAGTCAGAATCGACTCCATGGCACTCAACAACAACAAAGATTGGGTTGTTTTTTTCCTGCATCTCCCTAAATCTAATGGTACGCCTCAACCTCTTAAACTCCGGTTCTTAAATTACCAAACCATCCCCTCTGCAGAGTTTGGGAGATTAGTACATGGTTACAGATGTGTTGGTGTGATGAACTGTTCTCCATATAATGTTCATGGATTCTTGACAGCCCCCATCCCAAAACAAAGTGTGTGCTAATAAGCAAAAAACAAATGGTGTCGTAATAAATTGATACATGATTAAATATACTGAATGTTAAATGAGTCTTTAGTCAAAGCATGATTTAAAGGTATGGATCATTATACAATTAAAGTGAACCAGAGAAGCAAAAAGATTTTTAGTTCCAGCTCATAAAGATTAAGGAACCCTGATGACATAACAGCTAAGTGTGTGACTACTAACCAGAAGGTTGGTGGCTGGGACCCCCGCAGCATCTCCACAGGAAAATGACCTGGGAAACTGCTCCCCAAAACCTACAATGAAGGAAACCCTGCTCTGACATAAGGGATCACTATGAGTCAGAACCGATTCCACAGCACCCAACAGCAACACAACACAATAAATACTCACCACGTGCGTCTCATCTCCCTCAGAGTGGTGGCTCTGTAGGATAAAGCACCGGACTACGAACAGCAAGGTCAGTGATTTGAGCCAACCAGCCACTCCCAAAAAAAAAAAGATGAGGCTGGTGGTTCAAATCCACCAACCACTCCTTGGAAACTCTATAAAGGGTCACTGAGTTAGAACCAACTCAATAACTACAAGAAGTTAGAATCAACTTGACATTACCTAACAGCAACACAATATTAATATTATACCTACACCTTATTTCCCTTACAGTCAAGTTAAATATGCATGGTACTGAAAGTGTTTCAACTGCCTTTTGTATTTTGAAACCCCAGGTGATTAATCCTGATATTTGTTTATATGCACATTTGATACAAGCTCCTAGTAACCTTTAGGACAGACTTTTCTAGGATGTCACTTGTTTAGATGTTGATATTTGTGTAGCAGATGCAAGGTCTAGATGAGTGGCATGAACTAGTACCCAGATGTCTCCAGAAAGTAGAAACTGAATTACTTGAATCCATATGACTCAGCAACACTGTGCCCAACAGAACAAAACACTACCCAGTCCTGTACCCTTCTCACAATTGCTGCTGCCACTGTGCCAATCCATCTCATTGAGGGTCTTCCTGTTTTTTTCCACTGACCCTCAGCTTTACCAAGCATGATGTCCTTCTCCAGGGACTGGTCCATTCTGATACCATATCCAAAATATGTGTGATGAAGTTTCGTCATGCCTTCTTCTTAAGGAACATTCTGGCTCCACTTCTCCCAGGACAGATTTATTCTTTCTTCTGGCAGTTCAGAATAATTCAAATGGATCACTTCTTCGTCAAATTTTCTTATTCATTGTCCGATTTTCACATGCCTAGGAAGCAGTTGAAAAGGACATGGACTGAGTCAGACACATCTTCGTCCTCAATTTGAAGAGTATCTTGCCAAAGGGAAAGTTCTCTTTTTATTGTTTTGAATTAAAATTCTGTTTGGCCAGTAGGTGGTGACAGAGAGCAAGCTACAACTACCCATATTGAATGCCCATGACATTTTCTCAGCTGGTAATAACCTCTTTCATCTCTGATATCCGGGTGTAGCACTGTAGGATATGCACTGGACTGCTAAACCCAATAGCAACTCTGTGGGAGAAACATGTTCATCCTCTAAATCCTGTACAGAGTTAGTCTGAGTTACGATTGGGTTTGGTTTGGATTTAGTGTCATCTTCAGTTCCTCGTAGGCTAATCTTGAATGAATGAAACATGTTCTCACAGTGTCAGCATGTACTAGTGGCGAGAGGTTAATCTGTGAAGGAAGCATATTTAAAATGTTATGAGACCATATACATTTTCCCCCTTGGGAATCCCTGGTTGGTGCAAAAGCCTTTGGCTGTTAAGCAAAACGTTGGTGGTTGCGGTCTCCTTGAAAGAAAAACCTGGTAATCTGCTCTTTGAAAACTCAGCCGTCGCAAGCCCTGCAGAACACAATTCTACTCTGACACATGTGGGCTCACCAGGAGTCTGACTCTCAACTGCCACTGGTTTTACAGCACATTTTTGCTGCTTTTATTCTTTCCTCGACGTAAGAATTTAGTCAAAATTTTCATGCAGGTAATTTCACTTTTAGCTGAAGATGGAATTCTTCACCGCAGCCTCCCCACCGTATTTTTTTCCTTTTGGTAATAAACCAGTTGCATCTAGTTGACTCTGATCCATGGTAACCCCATGTGTGTCATGGAACATGGGACTTTCAAGGGCTCAGTGTTTAGAAGTAGACTGCCAGTCCTTTCTTTTGAGGTGCCTCTGGGTGAACTCGAACCTCCAACCATTCTGTTAGCAGCAGAACATGAACTGTTTACACCACTCGGTGACTCTAGTAATGAAGTGGTGGTGGTGGTTATGTGCTGTGGAGTCGGTTCCGACTCATAACGACCCTGTATGGGGTTTCCAAGGCTGCAAATGTTTATGGGAGCAGAAAGTCTCATCATTTTCCTGCGGAACAGCTGGTACTTTTGAATTGCTGACTTTGCGGTTCGCAGCCTGATTTATAACCACACGCTACCAGAGCTCCTTAGTCATGAAGTTGTTATTGTTTAGTGCCGTTGAGTCGGTTCCAACCCATAGCGACCCTGTATAGGGTTTCCGAGGAGCAGCTGGTGAGTTTGAACAGCCAGCCTTGTAGTTCAAATGGCTTTACAGTCTGACACATTAACCCACAGCGCCATAAGGGAAGTGCAAAATGTTGATTTGGAGAACTTGGTCGTTTGTGTGTTAGAAATGGAAAATCCGCTTCCCTTAGGAAACTGCTGATCTTTATAGCTGGGTTTTCTCTTCCTTCTTATTTTGAGAGTATACTTAATATTTGAACACAGTTCTAATGGCTTGCTGGATTTTCTTCCCCAGGATTCCTTTGGTTTCATATCAGTAAGAATACTAATGAACTTCCAACATACTATATTCATATTTTAGTAATGTTATCACTTTGAAATCATTGCTTGTAGCTCTTTAGAAAACTATTTGGCTCTTGAATTTTAGCTAGGAAACTTCTTTGTCATGGATAATGTTATCTACATCTTTCTTTTTTCCAAGAGTATTCTTTTTTCAACTTTTAAGTGACCCCCCCCACCCCCCCGCTCCCAATTGTAATATGTATTCAAGATAGAAAGTCTAGGAAACAATATTACAAAGAGTTTACAATTTATGAGATACTTGAGTTACGAAGAACCGCACTGATGACTAGAAAACACTAGTAGCATAGTGGATTACATGTTGGGCTGCTAACTACTAGGTCAGCAGTTCGAATCCACCAGCTGTCCCGCAGAAGAAATATGAGGTTTTCTGCCCCTGTAAAGATTTACAGCCTCAGAAACCCTATACAGAGTTGCTATGAGTCAACACAGAACACCATAGCAGCACTCACAACCATCCTTTGTTTTTTGGGGGTACATTGTATCATTAATATGTACTTATCATTATAGGCACTATATACAATGTTACATTGTGTAATCTGCTGATGTCATATTTGTCAGTTTATACATAATGGTTCCAACCTTCCAGGACAATAAAGATCAGATTTTTTTAAGATACTGATATTAAAAGGTAGTTGTTGTTGTTGTTGTTGTTAAGTGCCATCGAGTCGGGTCCGACCCATAGCGACCCTGTACAGGGTTTCC